CCATAGAAACCAATAGAAATAGATACCAATAAGGACCAATAGAAACCAATAGGACCAATAGAAACTAATAAGACCAATAGAAACCAATAGGATCAATATGACCAATAGAACCAATATATAGAAACCAATAGAAACTGATAGGACCAATAGGACCGATAGGACCAATAGAAAAACCAATGAGACCAATAGAACCCTATGGGACCAATAGAAACCAATAGGTCCAATAGAAACCAATAGAAACCAACAGTTAAATCTATCTCGTGCATATTCATGATTACTTTATACGTGTTCACAGAAAATTACATTTATCATAATTATTTTGTTAAGCAACTTATAACAATGTACATCAATTTTGTGATTTTCATTTCTTTCGGCAACTAATGACCAATAGATTATTTGTTTAATCATGTTACAATTACATTTACGTTTTAGCAACAGATATATTGATTATAATGATTACTAACCAAGAAACAATTCATGTATGTTTATCATATAGAATAGTACAAGACTTTAGTTAAAATAAAGGATATTCTTAAAACTCACTTCAATGTGATGGATCTATGTGATGGAGTTAATGCAATTGAGATTAGAATATACTTCTTTTGGTGGGACAGTTGCTAAAATCGATTTTGATTTATCATTATTGATTTACCAATAGAAGCCATTGGACTATTGGTTTCAATGGGGGATTCAGAATATGGGACCATTAGAAACCCATAGAATATCTCTAATGGACCAACAGGAACCCACAGGAAAATATCTAATGGACCAACAGAAACCTATCATAGAAGAAAATATCTAATGGGCCAACAGAAACCCCATAGAAGACATGGGTGGATGCTGGTCCAATAGAAGCTTTCTGTTGGTCATCAGCATTTCTTTCTGTGGGTTTGTGTTGGTCCAATAGAGATTTTCTAATGGTTTCTGTGGGTCCATCATTTCACTTTCCCTATTGAAACCATTAGACACCATTAGACACCAATAGCTTAATGGTTTCTGATGGTCCAATAGGATCGGATCCTAATGGAATTCGACCTGGGTAGTGCTGCGCACTTTGCGCGCACTCTATTGTGACGTAATAATCACACCAAATGCACACTGTTTGCAGTGTATCAAACATTTTCGTCAAGCACTGGAGTACTGATTTGACAAAGTTTTTTCAGTTCTTTGAGATTGTCATGGTGGATTTTTGTATTTGCTCTAGATGTCTGATTTGGATAACAATAAAAATATTGACTGGCTTTACTTTCGGGGGATATAAGAAATATTGACCGTGCTAAGACCATATGCCCTATTCGACTCTGTTCGACCGGGCAATATGATCTGAGTTTATGGTCAATATTTCTGATATACCCCTCAAGGCCAGTCAATATTATATAATATTTTCACTATTATTATAATTTTAACAAAAAAAATATTATTAGCATTTTTCTTCATTTTTTCAATTACTATTATTTTTTATTATCATTTTTTTTTTTTAAATAAATAATTTTGGGGAGGGGGGGGGGGGGGGATATGTTTTAGTAGGTAACAGCTTTCTTTGTACGCTGGGAAGCAGTATTATTAAAGAGCTACCTCTGGTAGAGCAAAACTGGTTACTCATAGTAGCCTACAACTACAATAACTTACTGAAAAAATATTTTGAGTCAGATAATTCGGACCAAAAATAAATCTCACTAAATTACTCAACTTTCATACTTAACACATAGCGTTCCATATTCATTTATCAGCTGATCAATTGAAAAGCGTGACCGTCGTCGTTTTGTGTCAAGAGACTAGAGACTCAAGACTCAAAAGTAAAGGAGGTAATACATATTCTTCCATGATTATTCCCCATTATTTGTTGTTGTAATGGTGTGTTGAATATTTGAGGGGGAAAGTGAGGGTAAAGGTTGGAGTCAGGATGCGGTATCGTCATTCGATTCTTAGAACTGTGCGTGCGTGTCCGTTTCTAAACCTCAACCTGTACCGGTAACTACTACCCTACCACTACCAGCTTGCGCCTCGCCAGTAGGGCGCTTTAGTAACGAGACGGTACGCACAGGAGACAGAGTGTTTAACCAACTGTAACGGGTCTTGCACTCTGTTACCGTCGTGATGTTTAAGCGCTTTCGCTGTCTGCTAAAGGTGAGGGGGACGCAAAGCCGCGCTCTGAACTGCACACTGCTGCATTTTTGGTGCTAGTGCTCTTGGGCCTCGAGGCTTGGCCGGACGCCGCCGGGGCAATAGACCGGCGATGGGCGTGGGCAGTAGTGCGCAGCGTGCAGGCACGTCATGCAAGTAGGCCTAAACGGCCAAAACCATCAATTTATTGTAGATTGAGGTATAGATACCGAACAGACATTGGAAACACTAGTAGATTCCCTGTTTTTATCTTCAGTAGGGCCCCTGCATTGTTAGATCTAGATACAAATTATTTGTCAGCTCTCTCTCTTACGTCGTGTTAAGGGAACGAACGCTATGTTGGGAGAGTACCGTTCCGAAAAGGGACGGACGGAGAGAATTCAGAATCGCGCATGCGCAGTTTGTTTTTGTTCGCGCTCGCATTACCGTCTCCTGTGCGTACCGTCTCGTTACTAAAGCGCCCTACTGGCTCTGGTGCGGCGCGCGGCGGCGGCGGCGGAGAAGGCGGTGAAGACTAGGGTGAACAGACACTCCAGTGGAGTGTTAGTGACGACTAGTCATGTCGTCTGCTTAGATACAGAAGAGACTGCAGGTTGTGCTGCACTGGTCACATCACACATCCTTGTCCAGACTTCTTACAATCTGGATTTTAGATGATATTGTTTATGGTTATAGACCTCATGCATTGTAGGAGTGGAATTAGTGCATGGGCTTGAATTAAAAAATGAAATGTCTATCACTCAGTCAGTAGTCAGTTAATAATATGTCAAGTTCATGTCCATTTTCAGGGAATAATTTTCCTGGTATCGCATCGCAATTCGCTATGCATTTTGCATGACTGCTATACAAAATATCTTTTTTGTGTAGCAGTTTTCTTCCATAGAAATGTACAGAATTTCATTTGAAATATTTATCCATCACTGAAATCTGAAATTGCTAATCAAAAATTTGAGAAATTTGAGGATATTCCCTGATTTTAGTACTAGATCTACAGGCCTGTTAATTTCTTGATTTAGATCGGTTTCCTGATTATTATTTTTCCAGACATTTTTTTTTTTAAATAATTTTTTTTTCATGATTGTTTTTTCTTCCAAAAATGGACAGTCCCTGAGATCGATGTAAATCTGGTTTTGAATTAAGCACTAACACCTCGCTTCGCTCGGATTTCTAAAACCTTTTTTTTCTAGCGCTCACTAACACCCCTGAGATCTAGTTTTTGCGTAGTTTATTTATTAGTGAAGTCTGAGGAATCACACAGACTCTTGATTATTTTTGTTTTTATGTTGTTGAAAAATTGTTAAAGAAATATGATATGTTTTTTAATTATAATTTAACATTCAATTCAGCAGAGGCTGCGAAAAAATATTTCTTTCCTCTCAATAATTACTTATGACCTGCTTATGGATATCTCTACATGCAGTATTCTTTCGCTGATCTCTTTTTCTTCTCCTTTATTAATAATATTTACAAAGTTGTCACTTGTAATAACATTCTGCTTTGTTTCTCTTCCATTCAGACTTCACTATCATGGGATTAATCAATATCCTGAAGCAGTCAACCCTGACCCATATTTGTCTGTGGTGTATATTTATCATCAGCGGTCTTATCGTGGTAGCTCTACAGTGCTGCACCCTCATCGTATGGCCCTTCAGCAGACGCTGGTATATCGAATGCCAATGGAGGGCTCATAAAAACTCTTCTGGTTACGTGAGTATAGCCAGCAATATATTACTGCACCTCCCCTTCCAAAAGTAAAATGGAGAAGATAAAACTACCAAACGTGATTAATTGCAAATCGCATTGTAGGCTTCCTTTTTCTGGGAACTGGTATATCTGCTATATTATTCCTTTTTCAGAGAAAAAGAATATTTGACCAATGAAATCAATGTGCTTGCAATGCAACTAATTTGAGAAATTACTCTATGCAGTTTAGAAAAGAGCAAGGGGGGGGGGGGGGGGGAGGGGGATTGAAATAAAGATTACAAAAAGATGGATGGGAATGGGAGGATTTTTATGTTAAGAGATACACATATAAAAATTCATGCAAATATGGTCTTGTATTATGTACTGTATGCCTAAATAAGAAATGAAATGTTATCTAGAATCTTAGTCAATTCACAGTTTTAAAGTCAGGCACAACCTTTCACAATCACAAGTACTTAACTAAAATTCAGTTTATCATTTGGTTGCAGAGTATGTTTGGTTGGTAGACCATTGGTCTGGATCACAGCTATTTATTCATTGTAAGGACGAGGATCTTCCATTCATTGGTAAAGATGACTGCTTATTTGTCCTCAACCACCGAAGTGACGTTGATTGGATCATCACTTGGCAGGTTGGTGCAAGGTTCAACCTTCTACGGTGAGGGGGATACAAGTAGAGGTTTGTGGTAGTGGATAGTGGAATCCACTGGATGTGGATCAAAAGGTACAGGGTTCAACCTTCTACCGGTGAGTGGGATAGGAGTAGAGGTTTTGTGGTCTAGTGGATAACTCACCAGACTGTGGATCAAAAGGTACAGGGTTCAACCTTCTACCGGTGAGTGGGATAGGAGTAGAGGTTTTGTGGTCTAGTGGATAACTCACCAGACTGTGGATCACAAGGTACAGGGTTCAAACCACAGCCACAAACACGTTACTAAACGTGTTTGGTATGTTTGGGCCTTCAAGCACTTTATTATCTGAAGAGGCAACCTTGTTTAAATAATTTAACTACTGAAAAGAAAAAATATCCTTTGGCAAGACATACACAATTTATCTACATTTGCCACACTCTTCAATGATGTAGTAATTGTGCTTGTGAGTTTGTGTAATCTTTATTTCAATTCCCCTTCTCCCTTTCTCATGCGTTAATAAACATTGAAACATCAAAAGTAAAAAAACACACTCCAATTGGTCTTCACAAAGTTCTGAAGTGAAAGAGGATATTTTTCCCCATTGAAAAAAGCTTGATTTTAAGTTAATAATGCTCATGGGGGGGGGGGGGGGGGGTTCACTCCCATCCTTCATCCCCCTCCCAATCTACGAAACTATCTTAATGTTCACTTCTTATTCTTCTACCAGGGTGGCAAAGCATGCATGAAGGATGAGCTGAAGTACGTTCCCATCATGGGCTTGTCCTTCTTTCTCACTGAACAACCTTTCGTCAAGAGGAATTACACTAAGGACAAGGAGAACCTTTTGAAGCAACTACGAAACATCACTACATTTCACTTTCCAACTACAGTAAGAATATAGTGCCATTATTAGCCCTCTCTTTGCTTGTTTATTTGTTTGTTTTCTTGTTTTGATTTGTTTGTTTTGCATCAATTCACTCTCATATTTATAACTTAGGTCAGTTGAAGTATTTAAAGACAATCTACAAAAATGATCTGTTCGATTAGGTGAAGTTGCTAAAGTAATATCTTATCCTTTATCGTCACAAAACAAGGTTCTCTTAGTGTGTGTGCTTCTTTCATTTGCTGCTTGTTTGCCAAACATGTTATGGTTTAGCATCTTCATTCTTGCAAAATGTTCATCACTGTAATTTAGCTACTACATTTTGAATGTTATGCATGTACTTTATCATTATTGTTTTCTTATACTGGTCTTTTTTTGTCACTGCTTTTTCATCTTCCCTTTTTCAATTTAATTCATATAATAGCATTACACATTGCATTTGATTTTTGTGTGTGCATTTATCGTATTTGCTTGTTTGCATAGCCTATCTTATTTATTTTTGCTGTTTGCAAAACCCATTGTAGCTTGCATATGAAATCTTTTATTTGAGTCTTGAACAAACTTCCTTTTCAATCTGTGTGCTCCATGTTTGCTCGTAAGATAATCTGACATTTGACCTTGTTACACTGTACAAGAGATAGCATATGAGCTGATTTTGTTTACTCTCCTTCTTATCTTATCACAATATTATTTTCAGGTTCAGAACTTTGAATAAAAGGAAGGGGGGGGGGGGTTTAGACACCATCAAGTACGTGCATGGCCTCTGCTTTGCTGACCTACGTCTTGTTTAACCTTGTACTACCCTTCAACGTTTGAGTGTTGTTATCATTTTTACTATTTTGGCTATTTCAAGCACTTAGAAACATTTTCATAAAGTGCTATAGAAACATAATTTATTACCAATTTTATTATTATTTAAATAAGTCGTATGGTTCCTGTTCAAATAATATCACTATTTTTTTCCCATCACAATACCTAAGAGGATATAAACTTCCCAAATTAATTTTTTTTTTTTTGTGGAGAAAAACTTTTATTTTCTCAATATCCAGAATTGGCTCATTAGTTGTGAAGCTAAATAATGTGAACGAAATCTTACTTTACTTTTGTTAGATTTGTAAAAATATTCTTTCTTGTGTACTACAACAGAACATATATATATATATATACATATATTAGCTTATCAATGTCAAAATACTATATAGTTCCTTTTAAAGCATTTATTCTTTATTTTAGTTTATATATCTCCATCAATATATGGCTTATCTAAACTTCATGCTCATTTCCTCTACTAAGAGCCGAATGGTCATAAAATCATATCCTAAATATTAGGAAATAAATGCTCTTTTGGCTCGATCTCAACAAACATTAATATTCATTATTTTATCCATTTCTCTCTCATAGTTATTATTGCTTTGCTTTTCTATTCATGCTCATAAAGGTCACTTGACATTTAAAAATGCTGGAGGAGAATGGTTTTGAACCGGGTTTTGGTTTTAATATACTTTGGAGGAGGAAACAAAGGTAAGATAATGCTTGATACTTCCCCAATTAAGATTTGATTTAGTATCAAATATCTCATTTTTAAGCAGCAGATTTTTAACCTGTAATCACTGGCTGCTGATGATGGTAGCAATGATGATGGTAATGATAATGATGATGATGATGAGAGAGCTTGTTGAGTGCTGCGAAGCTTTAACTGAAAATTTCTCATATTTGAACCAATTAACCAAACAAAAGAAATTAAAGCTTTTTCACACACGCTTCCGTAAACCATCGCAATTTACTACTGGTATTTTTTTTTTTTTTTAAATTAGCAAGTAGGAATAAAAAATAAAAAAATGGAAATTGGAGAGTTGTCCGGCACTACGTCACAGTGATATTTTCGATTCTCATTTGAAAATTCCATCAAGTCTTGAGCAGAGCCCAACTCTGTCAGGAGCAGCTACAAAACAGGGCCCATCCTAGCTCGTACCCATTGTTATGCATTACGACTGATGAGGGTTTATGCCTGCCTGCCAAGTTCACAAAACCACGGAATTTGTATTGCTCTTTCTTTAGAATATTTTAGAGGGAGGCGGGAAGATAAGCCAATCATGGTGCATCCCACCAAAGTAAGATGGGTCACCCCAAGGGCTACCTGTTCCCTCAAGAGAAATTCCTCACAGACTATTTAGCTGTGGAACCTAGGGCTACCTAGGCTCGTTATTTTCCTTACTCATTAGTTTAAGGCATACTTGATATCAGGGCAGGCAGCAAGCCCACCTAAAATATAGATGGTTTTTGCAGCGGTTAGTAAAAATAGATGGGATGATATTCCAGATTTACTTCACCAATTCTAATTCAGTATGAGTATGTTATCTTAATTATACATTATTTACACTAACAGTAACAGAAATTTGCTTTTTGGTTTTGCTTTTACAATTATTTATAGACATTTTGCTCCAAAGTTGGCTTTAGTATTTGAAAGTCCAGGTAAGATGCATATATTCATAAATATATCATACATATTCATGAGTCTATGGCAAGCCATGTGTGCAAGATGAGTGCTTTATTTTTAATTTCAATAAACCAAATTATTCCCAAGTGATATAATTGTATTGATTATAAATTTAATAACTATGCATGATACATATGAGGCAATAATGTTTAGATTTTTGGAAGGTAAGGTTACAGGTCAAAGGTCACAATGATCAGTTAAAATAAAATTACAACTGCTTACAAGTTACATCAAATGTCTGTTTTGTCATGAATTCATGTTTAAGCTATTGCCAGTGGGAGATAAACTTCTTAATATTTTGATGAGGTCAAAGGTTGCAGAGGTCAAGTAACATGACATTGAATGTACCCTCCCCCCACCCCCCCCCCCAATCTTGCCAACCTTTTCACATCAACTCAAGCACCATGTGAAATGCAAAGGCCTTTATAAGCATCTCCATTATCAGATAACCTGATTAGATTTGGGTCAAAGGTCGCTGAGGTGGATATTTCATTTGGCACCATGTTGTCATTTATTCTTTTTTTCAACTTAGATCAATCATAAAGAAATTAGTCAGAAATTTTAGATTCATGAGTGATCATGTGCCTTAATTGAAAGAAGTACACGTAGGACTCATGACAGAAGATCATGTACCTGGTAGTGGAATATATACCGTATTTGCCGGCGTAAAGGCCGCACCTCCGCATAGGCCGCACCCCCGATTTTGACATTAAAAAAAAAAAAAAAAAAAAAAAAAAAAAAAAAAAAAAAAAAAAAAAAAATCGTTTTTTTTTTTTTTTTTTTTTTTTTTTTTTTTTGCTGCCGAAAACCCACGCGTGGAAGGACCTTCATTTAACATCGAGGTGCAGTTAAAGGCGCTGATTTGTGCTTGTAAAATTGTCACAAATAATAGTAACAATGTCGTTTTTAGAAGAATGTGTAAGATCATTAATGTGAATTAAAAACAATAAAGTACCTATGGTACCAGTGGTGTACCTTGTGGTACACCATTTGTTATAGAAAAAATTTGAGGAACTATTATTATAAACTACATATTGAGATCTATTAGAAACATTACTTTCAAACAAAGATGACATTCAAATTTAGTGTTGTTTTAGTTTCCGAGTGGTGAGTCAACACACTGATTACTGAGCTGGGAGACATTGCCAGGCATAGCGCCATAAATCGAAAATAAAAAAAAAAAAAAAAAAAAAAAAAAAAAAAAAAAAAAAAACTACTTTCGCCGCATAGGCCGCACCCCGACTTTTTGATATTTTCTCTTCCAAAAATACTGCGGCCTATACGCCGGCAAATACGGTATATGAATTTCCATTAATCAAGGTTATTATGTATAGTAATGTTACTCAATTATTAGGGGTTGGAGTAATGCCTGTTTTCCTATTATACTACCTCTAGTGACCTACGGAAGGTGCATGGAGAACCAATTAATGCAAAATAGACCACATGCCTTCTGTTGAGTTAATCTGCCCATCTGACACTCTTAACAGATAGTATAATAACCACAGGCTCTTATATTTTATTTTATTTCTATCACATGATTGGTGATAAGAGCTTCTACTTGCCATGGCGCAATAGCTCAGTTGGTAGAGCAGTGGTCTCGTAATCCGGTAATCCAGGTTCGAACCAAGGCAATGCGCTAGTGCCCTTTGGTAAGGCATTAATCCTCATTACCAGGTCCCTCGGAGAGAATCTAAACCCTCGGCCGTCTGGTTGCTTAGTAACAAGCATTTATGCTTTCTTAGCAGTAAAATAACCACCGCCACCACCACATTTTATTTTTTGAGAGGGGACGTTTCCAAATCTGGTCTATACATTTAATATATGATGATGATGATTATGATTATATCGTTATTACATCATGTTTTTCTTCTTTCCCATTTTTCACAGACCGTCATATTTTGTGAAGGGACAAGATACACAGAGGAAAAGTACCGGCTTAGTCAGGCTTTTGCGAGAGAGAGGGGACTCCCTGAGCTGAAGCATCATCTGATACCAAGGACCAAAGGTTTTGGTCTGTGTGTACAGGCTTTCAGAGGAAAAAGTGAGTACATGTATTTCCATTAACATTTCCGTCACTTCCTTTGCCTCACTCCACAGTTACTCATCTTTTACATAAACAATTTACAGACAAACATAGGCACCAATCGATGGAAGCTAGGATAGCTTTGTGCATCACAATGACCTTGCAAATTCACCATTTCTGGTCTTGATTCGCTACTTTTAACACTGGTAATTTGAATAATCCTGGAGCCTTTGGTACATCTATCCCATGCTAGATACAATGTGGCCCAGAGATTATTTATGTGGCATGAAAAGAGTTGAATGGGATCAATCCTGCCAAAGTATTTTCCTTGGTAAATTTGGCATTTTATGATATTAAAAATATATATTTTGTTTTTGTTTGTTTGTTTTTATTTCTGTGTTTTCAAATAAAAATAATCATATACACTGTCGCTCATATACATGTAGGTGGAATATTTTTGTTTTACCCCAATTTATGGAATTATTTTTAAAAAATTAAAAATAATAGATCTAAATAAAAGTATACATTCTCAGATTTTATTGAATAATAATTTGCAAATGTGTGTTTTGCGTGACTGCTAAAGCATGCGTATGCTTCTGTGCTTATTAAATAGGGGACCTACGCCCTTAAGTCATAAATGACAGTAATGAGGATTAATGCCCCACAAAAGGGGTCTAATATAGCACATCAACACTGTTTTGATCCTGGGACCTCACAGTTACGAGGCCATTGCTTTGTCACTGTATCATGACTGTACGCAGCGGGGGCTAGGGTAGGGGGCAGTTTCCATAAATAAAATAAAAAACAGAAATGCAATAATTTTTCAATAATTTATTGCATTTTACCCCGGTTCCCAACATAAAAAAATCCTCTGTGGGCCCATGCCTTGAGCCATAAATCATTTATGTATAAAAGAAATAAAAGTGGGCCTAAAATGGAGCCTTGGGGAACACCAAAATTAACGGAAAGTAAATACGAATTAAGACAGTTGAAATTAACATATCGTTTTCTATTTGCTAAATAATCCTTAAGATATCAAAGTGGACCCTAATTATAATTATCATTTCAAATAAATATTTGATTTAAACACATATTTCATATATAAATATTAACATGGATTAATTATATGTAATTAGAATTTGATTGCACATGGTATGAACTAGGAAAACGATGAGACCATTATCTTTTTGAATGAGTTTCCATATGTTTTCAACATAATTTCAAAGTTACATGATACAGACAATTTAAGGACATTCTGCAGTAATGCTTGTGTGGATCTTAGTAGTGCAGGGCCTTCTGTTCTGATCATAAATTTACTGTGCACAATACCAGAAAATTCCAGGCACTGTGCTCGGTATTATAAATACATAACCATCTGGCCTTGTGCAGCTCAGCCGCACACAAAAATTACTGAGTATAGGTAATACCCTCACGCTTCTATAGTTCCAATAGCCAAATTTCAAATGTTTTATCTAATTGCATTACTCTCCTAGACGTCCAAATATATGATGCAACACTGGCGTATGAGGGTGGCAAGGCTCCAACACTCTATGATGTACTCTGTGGCAAGAAGTCTGACTGTCATGTTTATGCAAGGTACAGTTCTCAATATCATCGTCTATCTTCTTGCACGCATTCTGTCAAGTATATGGTTTGAAGAGTCAACCAAACTTTGATAGCTCACCAATGCAACCAATAAATCTAAAAACAGAGCCACTTGTAGCTGATGGCTTTAAATCTGGAATGGCAACCTTGTCATGATACATTTGTAATAATCCCTAATAATTTGTATAATATTTCACCTAGTATATGATCTCATTTCTAGAATAATTTTATTTCTCCTTTCTGCTGCTACAGGAAGCATTTGGGTTTGTCATGAATAAGCAACTTCTTATTAATAAGTATTACTTACAGTAATATGTGAGAGAGTAATATTCATAATAGTTTAAACATATTTGTGGCTTACACCCAGTAAATAAGATTGATTGATCAATCTGTAATTGAAAAACAAGTCAGAAAAAATCTTGGAACCAGCGGGATTTGAACCTGCCATCTACTGATTACCGGGCAGCGACTCTACCACCAGGCCATCACTCGTCCATGGCACAGTCACGATGAACTAGAAACAAGTACCCAAGCTCTCCTGATTCATTCTGACTTATTAATATTCATTAGTCCGTCATAGCAGTAGATGGCAGATTCAAATCCTGCTGGTTCCAAGATTTTTTTTTTCAATTACAGATCTTAATTACTGGGTGTAAGCCACAAATATGTTTAAACTATTGAAATTTCTCCCAGGACGCATTACATTTATAAAAAATATTCATAATGTTGACTCATGTGACATTGCCTTTTTTGTATGTTCCAATATACATTTTTAAAATCATTTCATGCAAAACAATTTTAATGAATTGTATGTATTATTTGGGGTTTCTTTTTTCATCAATAAAGCATATCAAGGTTATTTTAAATTTGATGCTAATTGTCATTTGCCAAATCAAAGACCACTTGTTTATCAGCTTAGTTTCGAATATGGAATTAATGGTCATGAGATCTGTGCTCCACCATTATTCTAACACAGGAGTATGCACAACTGACTCTAACCCCCAACTGCCTCATCTTGTTAAAGAACAAAGCAAACAAGTTCACCTCTCGTAGTGTGATATTCAGTATTACATCCACCCTTTAAAAGATCCCAGACTTTCTCCTCGATCACAAATTCACGACTCAAGAGAAGAATCATAAAGTAGCATAAAAATGGAATTCCAAAGTTTTAGCAAGACGCTAATACACATCACTCCCTTCCACCTACCCAGGTGTGCCTCAGTACCCGATGTACCAGAGCACTACATATTGGCCGATAGCCATGACCAGGGTAATAAAGTTTGAACACCAAGAGAAACACAATGTGATAGACATGTGCATGGCATAAGAAACCACCATTGTTATACCCATTATTATATTGCAAACAAAAGTTGTTGTGAAAATAAGATTAATTTAGCTTTCAATAATTAATCCAAACAGGAGATTCCCTTTAGATGATGTTCCTTCTGGATCAGAGGATGAGTTTGCCATGAGATGTACAGAGGAAAGGTAAAGGCCCCTTATCTTGTTTGCTTTATCATGATCAGTCCTGTGATTTTACTACTAAATTCTGCTTTTAGGGCCTGGCCTGTCAATGTGGTGAAAATCCATGTAAATGTTCAATAGTTGATGTACATTATATGAACTTTAAATTGTATGTGTGCAACAGATGTAGTTGTTACAAAGATCAGAATAAAATGTATCCCTCTGTCCAATTCTATTTCATTCCCCCCCCCTTTCACTCTCTCTCTCCCAATTTCTCCTTCCTTTTTTCTCCAATTGTATACATCACCAATTGTCTACCCCCTCTCTTTTTCTCTACGTATATCTCCTTCTTCCTCTTTCTCTCTCTAATCCCCTTTAATCCACATATCTCCCACTGTTTTTACCCTTCTTTCTTTCTATGTCTCTCTCCTTTTCATTCTCTTATTCCATCTCTCCCTCTGTGTCTCCCTCTCCACCCTATCTTTGTATGTTCCTTTATCAACCTGTCTCTTCTTCCCCTCTAATTCTATCTCTCTCTCTCTCCCTCACTCTATAACTTCCATGATCTCTCTCACACACACACACATGCACATGCACCCTTTCTCCCTCTCTCTGTTCCTATCTATCTTGTTCTCCTTCTCTTTTTCCTGTCATTCTCTATTTCTCTCTCTCTCTCTCTCTCTTTGTTTCTCTCTCTCTCTCTCTCTCTCTCTCTCTCTCTCTCTCTCTTTGTTTCTCTGTCCATCTTACTATCTCACTCTTCACATATTGTTCCTTTTACAGGACAAAGCTTTTGACTACTTCCTTCAGCATGACACCTTTGAAGGATTTGATGCAGAGCGATCAATGCATGGCTTCCCTTGTCCAAGACTCTCTCTATATGTTGTGAGTGGATGGGGGCTTCTTATTGGTTTACCAATCCTTTACTACACCTCTATGATAGTCATCTCTGGGTCTATCTTGAAAGTGCTTATCCCATCAGCAGTGCTCTATGCAAGTAAGTGATACAGATATCTTTTTTTTTTAAAGAGATTTGTACGGTAGACAGGCAAGGTTTATAATGTTTTTCCCTTTAAACGTAACATCCTTGCAAAAGGTTCTGTGTTGTTGCTTATGTTTGAAAATGTATTAGGAGAGAAATAATAGTTGATTGTGTAATTGAAATAATGTGACAATGATTGAAGTTATTAATCATAATTACAATTATTATCTAAGTTACTTGTGATCCCTTTCAAAGGTAGGCCTACCTTATAGAATGTTTCCAACACTTCCCCTTTTGTGAGATCCAGAAGGTTCTTCATTTAAATGAACACTGTGTTGACACCTGTTAGGCAGTCAGCTGGATAGTACACGAAGAAATGTTTGGGGAAGAGCTAACTCCATGACAAATACGCATACTTTAGAAATACATAAACACATTCTATGAATCTGATGTAAACCCTGGCATGTGTAGAGTTTGATTGCAATCTGTTTAATACAGCAGCTATTTACATAACGATGGATGACAGAATAAAAGTAAATCGGTAGAGTATGGATTATAAACAATTATTTTGTACCATTTCAATGATAAAACTATTTACATGTATTTCATATGGCATATGAAGTATTGTGTAATGTGTATCCTTAATTATGAATGGATTTGATATGAAAGGAATATTTATGTGTTGTATGATCTATATACGCAATTATGCAGCGTTTTTATTTTCTTATATTTCTCCCCCTTTCTTTTCATACAGTCTACCGTTTTTCAGGCAGACATGCAATCTACTGAGACCTCATCTTACGGTTGAAGGACAAAACAAAATAATGTTGGTTCAATTTAAATGAAAGAACAATAAAATCACAGTACAAAAAGAAGAGCTTAACCATAGATTTAGTATTTAACATTTTGATAAAGGTATGTAGAGTACTTGGTTATTGTTTATTTAATGTGAAATTTTGAATGATATGACATTTTTTAGAGTACTTGCCAACTTGCACTGAAATTCCATGTTTATTTAATGTGAAATTTTGAATGGCATGACATTTTTTAGAGTCCTTGCCAACTTGCACTGAAATTCCATGTTTATTTAATGTGAAATTTTGAATGGCATGACACTTTTTAGAATCCTTGCCAACTTGCACTGAAATTCCATGTTTATTTAATGTGAAATTTTGAATGGCATGACATTTTTGTCTCGCCTGCGTAGCAAAAAGCGAGACATAGGCGCCGCTTTTCCGGTGACGGCGGCGGCGACGGCGACGGCGACGGCGACGGCGACGGCGACGGCGACGGCGTCAACATCAAAAACTTAACCTAAGGTTAAGTTTTTGAATTTTTGGTATAATTTTTAAAGTATAAGTTCTTAGTCAATGAAACTTTGACTATAGGGTAATCAAGTATCCCCAATCATGTGAGTAGAATTTCAGATCACAAAGTCAAGGTCAAAGGTCATTTCAGGTCAACAGACTTGGACTATGTTGTAGCGTCATCATCGAAAACTTAACCTAAGGTTAAGTTTTTGAATTTTTGATATAATTTTGAAAGTATAAGTTCTTAGTCAATGAAACTTGGACTATAGGGTTATCAAGTCTCCCCAATCATGTGAGTAGAATTTCAGGTCACTAAGTTAAGGTCAAAGGCCATTTAAGGTCAACAAACTTAGACTTTGTTGTGGCATCAACATTAAGATTTTCAAAATGCTTCTTCTTCGTTATTTTTCAATCGATTTTGATTCTGATTGTTTCATATGATAGGGCTAGGAGGGGATTTAAAATTTCTACACAGAATCGTGAAATTCATTATCTATGCTAATTTATGCAAATTTATTCGAAATCACAAAAAAGGCTTCTTCTCCTTCATTTCTCGACCGATTTTGATTTGGTTTGCTTTATATCGTAGAGCTAAATTGGGACACTAAACTTCTACACAGAATTTTGAAATTGTTCTCCATTTATTAATTATGGTAATTTATGCAAATTTATTCCAAAAATAACAAAAATTGCTTCTTTTCCCTCATTTCTTGACCGATTTTGCCTTATCTGGTAGAGCTAAATTTGGAACAATAAACTTCTACACAGAATTGTGAGATTTTGCTGCATTGATTATTTATGGTACTTTATGCAAATGAAATGAAATTATGTCCCTTCCAGGGCATCAAATTTCTATTTTTTGACCAGTTCAAAAGTGTACCACATAAAATTTACGATATTTGTTGTTGTGAGCTGCGGATGAGCGCTACGTCATTGACGTTCTGGTTTATCATATTGAATTGCGTTATGCAGGCGAGACCGCCGAGAGCGTTTCCCTTGTTTAGAGTCCTTGCCAACTTGCACTGAAATTCCATGTCTGAATTGTATTTAAAGTCATAAGTCGTTATGATAAGTCTGAAGCTAGCCAAGGCATCAACTTAAAGTTAGTATATGATAAAGTGAATCCTGTATATACATCTCACTCAAGGGAGACAAGGAAAGCAGTCTTTATGGACAGGTGGTCTTTCTGTAAAGACGGTTGCTAAAGCAGGTTTCATTGTACAGTTGTAATAGTATTGGATTTGTATAGCCACCACCCTGGGTGCTTATTGCGCTCCAATATTACCTCCACTCTATCAAGCTAGAAGACTGATTGTTTATTCCTTTTTCATGATATTAAGATCATATTGTTGATGCCTGCTGTGGATTTCAAAAAAAAAAAAAAAAAAAATGATTTTGTTAACATTTTGTCTGTTTTCTGATTACAAAAAAATGTGTAACTATTTTTTTTATGAGTTAATATTCATTCAAAGATGAACTATTCCATGCAATGGTAGACCCAGGGGTTGCATGCCCTCAGCAAAACTGGGTTAGCATGGCTCAAATTCAGCAATTTTAGTCCCTTAGAAGGAAAATGTTATAACAGGTCCTTTTTCTTGTCAGAGAATTCTGGATTAAAAATAAAACTTTCCAAAAAGTGTGATAACTTCATTAGTTATTTACTTTATTTGTCGTAGATTCAGATTTGTTGTCTGGCTTATGTCATCCCCCCTCCCCATCTTTCCCTGTGCCAGAGAGCCCTAGAATTGCCACTTATTGTAATTAAGACGAATGGAGTGTGAGTAATGAATATTTTAGTGAATTTATAGTGTAGTACACAGTATTTGTTCAGAAATAGGCATGTGGCAAGGGTAAATCTTCTGTTTTTCTGTATAGAATTTGAAATAAAGAAGTGCTGCTTAAATGAATTTCTCTTAAAATTGCATCATTTTTGGATAAGAATAGATTATATTTTTGTATAATTTAGACAAAAAAGGACAAAGAGGGGCACGAGAAAGGGACTGTCAGATTTCACAAATTTGTTTGAAAGCTGCATGGACAAAGAAAGAGAGATAGAAGGGAGAAAACTGTGTAGAAAGAGGATGGAGATGAAAGAAGGAAGGAAATAGAGCAGGAAATAAACAAGAGGGAGAGAAGGATAAGAATGTAAAGAGAAATAGAGACAGTAAGGAAGAAACTGAGAAAGGGTGGATGAAAGAGAGAGCGAGGGATAAATAATAGGTGTTATTGCTATTTAAAAAAGAATCTCATTTTTGCTGATTGATGTGTCATATGAAAGGGCAGAAAATAAACTTTCTAGAAATGTGATTTTCTCTTTGAAATTCAGATACCATCCGCTAAAAGACTTTTTGGTTTCCTCTCTTCAAATTGCTTGTAATCAATCATGCGTGAAATATGCATCATATGAGTTGAACAAATGAAAGAGGCGGTTCTAAGCTTTACAACTATGTGTCATTTATTAATTATAATTGTGATTAAGTTATAATAAGACATCGATAGTTCTCGGTTTCGTTTTTTTTTCTGGGACGCACTGTTTACATCTTGTAAGAATACTTTGACTAAGATTATTCGTTTGGAAGAGAAAAGATATTTTGAAAATATGTTGGTATTATACAAACATGATATGAAAAATACCTGGAAAATAATTAAACAGGCAATGAATGTTACTAAACATAAATCTGACATAAACAAAATTAATTTTAATGCGCATTGCTCTTTCCTCATCTTCTTCTCAACCCCACATGCAGCTCATCATTTTGTATTATTTTCTATACCCCGATCTCTCACTTCTTTTTCGTCATTGTCTACTCTTTGAATTATGACCGTGTTCTTCTAATAGGCCAGTTTCGTAATGTAACCAAATTTAATGCATACGTCTTTGTGAAGTGCCTCAATACAAATTATTTCATTCACCTGATAAGAATAATAGTATTTCAATAGTCATAATGCAACTGCATTTATTAAGTGTTGCTAGGTAGGTCAAGCCATAACGTTTGTCCAACCTGGCAACAACTAATGTATGCAGTTCGGATTCTGTCTATTGAAATACTATTATTCTTATCAGGTGAATGAAATAATTTGTATTGAGGCACTTTACAAAGACTTATGCATTAAATTTGGTTACATTACGAAAGTGGCCTATTGTGTCATGTTAAGTACTGTCTTGTCCCGTTCTCGTTTCTGTTCGTATCCCCCTTTTTCACCCTCTACTATACGTTTACCAATACCACTGGGCAAAATATTGCCCAACCTTTCACAGTACGTGTACCTTTTTCATCAAGACTCGAGGAAAAAGTGATAGACTCGTGCGAAATGATCTAGAAAATGAAATCATAAATTAACAGTGGGGGACGGGGGGGGGGGGGGGGGGGGGTCAAAATGCCCCTCAGTCAGAATAGAGTCAACGACTATCTGAGGGTTTGCGTCATATCACCATGATATTATGGAACCAATATAATAATCGCGCCCATCTTCACACGTTTAATAGTGAAAAACATCCAAACATAGACATCTGGGTAGGAACCCTTTTTTGTTTGAAGGCTAGCAATCTTTTGTGCGTGAACATGGAAAGAAACACATAGCAAGACAATAGGAATAATAAAAAAGCAAACCACACGTGTTTTATATTGTCGCTTACAAAAGTGTGTCCACATTTCAATCAATTTTCTTTTCGACATTGCACTTCAATAACAAAAACAAAAACAAAGAAAGAATCAGGTTTAAAGCCATTACCTTTTTCATCAAGACTCGAGGAAGAATGATAGATTAGAGACATGTATTAAGCGCTATATGAAAATTAAATATTATTATTATTAAAGTGCCCCTCGACCAGAATAGAGCAAAGATTATCTAAAGGGCTTATTATTTGTGAGTTCATTTTTCATGGACCTTTATTTGCACAGGCCTGTCAACAATGCTGAAATGCACTGACAGTTTAATAATATAATAATAAAAAACGGTGCTTATAAAGCGCCTTCCACCCAAACCTCTAAGAGCTATAACAAATTTTTTTTTAAATACAATGATAAACAATTACATATTAAACCGAAACAAAGCATTACAAATAAACCTACAAATTACAATACATATGAAATATACATCAGTGTGAACAGAGTAAGTTAATCATCAAAGGCTATTTGAAAAAATGTGTATTAAAGATACTATGTCCCTTTTGCAGCCAACATCAAATTCTGTAAAACTTTGCAGGAATTATGAATATGTCATGTATGTCCTATCTGTGACATTTAAACGTTAGGAGTGTCCTAATATTCAAATTATGCAAGGAAACCAGTATACTTGCTAAACTTCACTGCCAGACAATATTGAGTGACTGACTGGCTTGTTTTCTTATTTGGTTAGAACATACATAAAATGAGCTGTAAAGGGTACATGAGCATTTGTCTACATCAATAACCTACTTGTGATAAGCCTACGTGTGATGGCCAAAATTAAACTGATTACATCTTTGCGCAGCATAAAACGTACGACCAAGTTCAGTAAAATGGTCTGAAAATCAGATTATTACTTACTGGCTCTATAGCCATGGGTGTCAATTTGTATCCGTGGTTGAAGGGGGGGGGGGGGGTGATAGGTGCCAAAATATTTTCGGCAATGGATCAAAGCAACCAAGAGGTAGAAGCGTGTGGCAGATTGCACACCCTCCTCACCAAGTTATTAACTTGTTCAAGTTACCCTCAATAAAGATAACATTTCAGAGAACATAAGAGTGGTAATAAAAATTAATAACATGCTAAATGTTAGTCCTGACTATTGCCTGCAATGTAGGCCTACAAGACTGATATCATCTATATTTAAACGAAATTTAGACATTACCAAAACAATTCCAATGGTGAGGAATATCAACTTAATTATGAAAGTATTATGTAACCAGTGGGCAAATGCATTAATAAGCAACCAGGAAAGGTTCATGTAAACAGAAAATTCCTTATTTCCTGGTGATAGAAACATACATTTTATGAATATTGATGTCTCCAAACAACTTTCATCGTGAAAAACCCATTCCAATATTCTGTGTAAGGAGATCTCCAACAAACATAGATCTCATTAGTAAATGAAAAACATATTGCTTTTGGTTCCAAGCGCGTAGCCAGGATTTCATTTTAGGGGGCGGCAGTGCGAAGCGTGCGATTCTCTCTGGGTGCAGGGAGGGGGAGTTCCCCCTTTGACGTTTGATTAAATTATTGGAGAAAGAAAACGATTCGTTGTACCGTTTTCGACTCTTAATCCTTGTCTAAATTCAGTTCTTCCCCCCCCCTTCCCGCGTGAAGCGCGGAAGCTTTGACGTTTCATGGACTATTAGAGAAAGAAGACGATTCGTTGTACCGTTCTCGACTCTTAATCCTTTTTCTTCCTACGTCCTCTTCCTTTTTTTTTGGGGGGGGGGGCATGCAGTGGCGGATCCAGCCGGAGGGAAGAGGGGGGGGGGGGCCCCAATCCGTGAGAAAATATTAGTTGCGACTCAGCCACCGGTGAATAAGCGGGGGGGGGGGGGGGAGACCACTATTTTTGTTTTTTTCACGTAATTCGTGAGAGTTTTTTTTTTTAAATTCTTTTTTTGTTGACCCGTCAGCCGTCCCCCCTCGTGGATCCGCGCCTGCAGAGGATCCAGACGGCGTCAAGGGGGGGGGGGGGGGAGGGGGGGGGGGGGGGGGGGGGGGAGGGGGTAGCCAAATCTTAATACAAAATTTAGTGCCGACTCAGCCTTCCGGCGAGTAAGCTGGGGGGCGGGGCGCTTTTGTTTTTTGTTTTATAAAGGTTAACTTTACGTTATTATCCTATTTTTTTTAAAATCGTTTTGGGGGGCTGGGGGGGGGGGGGGGCGGGCCGGAATAATCGCTACGTGGATCCGCCCTTGGGGGGGGCGACATTTTATTTTTTGAGGGGGCGACCGCCCTACTGCCCCCCCCCCCCCCCCCCCCCCCCCCCCCCCCCCCCCCCCCCCCCCCCGTGGCTACGCGCCTGTTTGGTTCTTCATTTGACTCTCTTCCTTCTTTAATTAAACCAACTGAATCTAGGCCTCTCCGGGAAACTCAATTCAATGAAACAGAATATCAATTATGCAAAATATGAGTCTCAAAATGACAGAAAATTTCTACTCCTGATCTCATATACAAACTGTCCGTTTCTTAAAAACATAATATAAAACTCACGTTCCAACTACCCAACTACCCCCCCACCCCCCTTGAGCGCCAGGGGGGGGGGGGGCTGGATCCGCCACTGTTGGGAGTGCCCCCCCCCCCCCCTCAACCCCCGCTATGGTTACTAAGTGGTTTACATTGTTACACATAGAAGAGATGGGAGTGGCAGTTCGGCAGTTATAATGTACCCGATTATGTAACGAAAAACACCAAGGCCATAAATGATCAATAAAAATCGATAGATCACCGTCTGCCTAAATAAATTATACAGCGTATGCACATTTTGCATCGCGTTGCGCTTTGCATTTGCGCGGGTCGATCGCTCAATCACTCACAGGTAGAAATCTTGGCAGGCTGAACATCGAAGTGCATGCCATGGTGAGAACACAAATTACTATTAAATTTCTATCTTAAGCATGTCCATTTTCAATCATTATCGCAACTTCCACCTTTGCCCCATCTTTATTACATGTATATGAGTGATGTGGTTGTTAACAAGTTTGGGGATAAGTTTGAATTGTCCATTATTATTGCAGTTTTATGTGCGGGTGGTGAGAGCCGAATCATGAGAAATTCTACGCCGACATCCTCCCGTACCTGACCGTTGGTGCTCCGTTGCTACTTGCTAGACTCTGCTGGCGCTGGCTATAGGTCTAGGCCATGAGTATTAATACTGCTCATAGACATGGTTCAAGTTTTTAGTCATACCCAGTCATAGATTACTTAGATTAGCAATTGCTAATACACTTTCTACCTGACATGACAATCCTGATCCTGCCTGCTATGACAAACTGCAGTCCCCTGGTGGTAGTGGTAGCTGCTGATCTCCGATAGGAGGAAGAAGAAGGTAGTAGATCTAGATCTACTAGGAATAGATTGTCCATCTAACAATGTTACATCTCAAGTTATGATCATATGATAGAGATCCATCCAGCTGAAATTCCATCAACATGTATCAACAGCGGTTAGTAAGGGATACCAACTAGATCTAGAGTCTAGATCTAGATCTAGAGTCTTCTGAGAATAATGAAAAAAACTTTCTTGAAACTGGATAAGACAACACTACCGATTCTATTCAAGACCCTAATTAGACCACAACTAGAATATGGGAGTGTTCTTTGGCATAGCAGATATAAAGAAGATGCAAAGAAATTGAAAGAGTGCAAAGAAAAGCTACCAAATTGGTTTGAGAAATCAAGGACCTCCCATATCAAGAACGACTTAAATTCATGAACATGTCTTCTCTGTTCTACAGTAAAAGAAGACATGATCGCAGTCCACCAGATCATGCACAGACTAGTTGACATCCCACAAGATCATTCCTTCTCCCAGCCTGCAAGTAGAATCCGATCCATGAGAGGGCACTGTCTCAAGATCCAGAAAGAACACTGCAGACTGGAAGTAAGTCTTTCAGCAGACCAATAATACAAGATTGGAACAGTTTGCCAGAAAATATAGTGGTCATGACAACAACAGACAAATTCAAAAGACACATACAGTAGATAAGCATTGGTGGGAGTATCGCTTTGATCTCCCATGACTCCACTCCTGTGCATGCACATAGACTCAGTAAAAAATCTAACAGGCTAAACCTAGAAGCAGTGACCGGGAATTACAGGCCAACGCCTTCTTCCTGTACCAGATGATGATGATGATGATGATGATGAGATCATCTAGCCTACATCTATGATCTAGGCATGAATTGGTCATTTTGAAGGGGACTGGTGTTAATCACATGATTCTATATAATGATGGTGTTGCATGGTGTTGAGATCATGTATGCTTGTTCACAATAAATATGATGTGGCCTGTGCCATGCCCAGTTTTTAAGTGTACTGTCCACCCGCACTTCATATTTGTGTATCATATAGACAGTACTAGATACTAGTACTAGTAGTAGTAGTTAAGAGAATACATGTACTATGTAGGACTAAAAGTATATAGTATTGACTTGTTGTGTGTGCAGCTCAGCTGCTCTTTTCAACCTGATTGGCCGTTAAGACATTAGCAGGTCTCTAAGTGGTTTACCACGTAGCAAATCTGAATAAACGTTTTAGTTACCACTTACCAGATCTAGCTATGTCTGGTGATGTCGTGGATGTGATGGTGATGACATCAGACCAAAAGCATTAGACAGTTCTACTTCCAACATTGCTACATGTATGGCCATACCATGGGAACTCTTCAAATCTTTTTTAAGACTTAAAGACACTCGGTAGTTAGCTCTCATGGGGAATTCAACACCGTTCGCGTGTTTCCCCAATAACGTAAGTGTTGTCAATCACCAGGGTTAGCCTTGAGTTTTATGACCATTCGACCTTATGTAATGCTTTGCCTTTTCTTCACCCAATCTGAAGCGGGATCCGAAGCTAGACTATCCGAGAGATAAGGGGGTAATTCTTGACTGGCCAACGGGTATGCTGTGTGCAGATTTGTACTCCCATTAATGGTTTTCCCACCAAGTCTGGTGTCAGCGATTTATGGCCTTTTGCACATGGAAACTGACGCGTGACTCCCTTTAAATAAAAAATAATGAGCTGTTTGTAAAACTAAGAAGAAGACAGTGTTATAGTTTTAAAGATGAGTTTACCATTGTCTGATTATTTGCACATGTTTTGATCCCGTAGCAGGACACGGAAGATCCATTGAGCTTTTAATCTTAATGGTGCATGTAAATCACAAGGAAAATACAAGCAAGAACAGAAAAGAAAATTATAATTAATCATTAAATATTGATTAGGTTTATCTCAAATTTGAAATAAAAACAAGAATTGGATGAAGAAAGGGAGAACTGATGACTTTCCAGGCCATGGTCTTCAGAGCTCGCTTTCCCGAAAGAAAATGAAAGTAGACCACCAAACTTCTTTGTCTATGGACAGTTGTATATCAAATTGAAATTGAAAAAAGTAGACAATTCTGCATGGGGGAGGGGGGGGGGGGGGCAGGGTTGGCATATTTCTCGCTTCGGAGGCTTATTTCCCGGATGCCGGGAAATAAGCGGTATTTACCGGTATTTACCGCTTTTTACCGGTATTTACCACTTTTTACCGGGAAATATATTTTTCCACTCACTTGTTCATAGGGATTGTCCAATTTTGAACACAATGGTGGTGAGTATGGTTGCTCTTGTGTGTGTACTATTTGTGTGTGTGTGTGTTTGTTCGTGTGTTTGTCTAGGTCTGTAATTATGTACTGTTGGAAACAAATACAGGAAAAAGATACCAAATAAACACCTATTCTAGATATGATGTTCTTCATTAAAGGGAACCAAAACCTTCATACTAAGTTACTTTTATTGTAAAGTTTAAGATATTTGAATAAAATCAGTGAAAAATTGAACATAATCGGGCAAGGAATAAGGAAGTTAAAGCTTTTTAAAATGACTAGTCACTGGAGGGCGATATTCAATTTGATGACATCATTTGTGGACAAATCTCCATGCCTTTTGTACATCAAATTTCACAAGTCTTTCGTTTTTTTCTATTCATTTGTGCTCTTGATTGGATTTCATAACATGTGAAGTAGAATATCATTTTGCATTCTATTATCTCAATCACAAGAAAGAAGGAAAAACATGAAATTTGATGTACAAAAGGCATGGATGTCATCAAATTGAATATCACCCTTTAGTGACTAGTCATTTCAAAAAGCTTTAACTTCCTTATTCCTTGCCCGATTTTGTTCAAATTTTCACTGATTTTATTCAAATATCTTAAACTTTACAATAAAAGTAACTTGTATGAAGGTTTTGGTTCCCAGTTGCTAATTACCATATTCATGAATACCTATTAATTAGCATAAGCACAAAATGCCATTTGTTTGGGTGTGTACAATTTTGTATGCAGTGAGGATTTTATAAATCTGTTTGTGTGTTCCTACTATGAGTATTGTGCTGCAAATTATTTCAGAACAATATTTTCAGTTATGGGGCTAAAAACAAGTAAAATTATTAATAAATAGAGAATTAAAATCATATTTCCTGTTTTTTACATATTTACCAGACGCGCATCTTATTTACCGGACGGTATTTACCGGTATTTACCGGTATTTACCGCCGGTAATTACCGCCACCGGTATTTACCCCCCAACCCTGGGGGGGGGGGGGGGGGGGGAAGAGGGGTGTGTAATGGACCAAGTTCTTTTTTTTCAGGTCTGTTGAGACCTACTGCTCTCTTTGGTGTTTTTTTGTTACATCATGTAATGCTATTACAGTGTAAATGATTAGCAGGCTTCTTGGCAGAAAAAGTATTTACGATACCCATGGACTAGCTTGAATGAATTATGGCTTTGTGCTATTCGGGAGGGGGGGGGGGGGGTGTGATTTCAGAGGAATAAAAGCACATTTACCGGTTGCAGTTTTGTCTGAATTGAGTGGAATATGCAGATGATTGGGATGAAATCTTTTGGTAAAGTGCTTACAGATATCTAGATGTAAAGTGCTAAGGGAGATATATACCGGTATATGATATATATGAAAATGAATATCTCCTGAATGGTGTTTTCAGAGCCTAAAGTGCATTAACTCTGTGTTATTGTAACACCCTGCTGGCTCTAACCAGAGAATATGATAAAGACGTTTTTCTTTTTCAGGTTGATACAGATATACTGGAAGACTTCAATTTCAAGACTTGACAAAAAAGTCAAGTTTGAGTTTCTACCGTCATCTCTGTTGCTCATCAAAACCATCTGTTTAAAGATCGCAACACTCTTACAGAGTAGGCTTGAAGAAACTAAGAGCTTCAATCTACGTGTATCATTTGAAGCGTGCAGGATATCAAGGGAAGATTGCAGCATCTGATATTGCTGTGACTGTGTTGTGCAAACCCTCAATTGCATACTAAGGTAATGATAACAGAATTACATAATGCTGTTTGCTATTAGTAAAGAGAAGGTCAAGTTCTGAGAAAAGTTAACAACTATTTGTGAGCTTTCTTCTTTTTTTTTAATGTTAGTGTTACAGTGGGTGGGTGGAAGAGTAGCACCCTCTGAAGGATGGCTCTTCAAATGCCCTCATTTTTAAATATGGCAAGTAACAGCTAGAGGTTGTAGACTGCAGCCTCATACCACATGTCTGTTTATAGTCCAGAATATGGCCTACTGGTATTCAATTTTGATCTCCACCACACCAACGCTACCTCCCCCTACTTACTTGCTACCAGCCGATGATGGCATGATCATTAAATTAGGATGCCCGGCAAAAAGCTGGTGAGCATAATTATGAGTTTTTTTTTATATAATGCCATCTTCGACGGCGTGAATCAAGTGTGTAGGGAATTATTAAGGACCGGGCAGATTCTGGACTAGTCTGTGTATAGCGAAGTGACTTTTTTGGCAAGACAAGTCAAAATTTTAATAATTTTAGATGATACCAAAACCTCATACTGGTACCTCTGTGCTGCATAATCAGCCTTTTCCAATTGCTTCTAGACAATTTGTTTCACACAGAAATGGCATGACCAGGGCCAGTTGCACAATATATACCATTGATGGTAACTTTGCCATCAAGGGTAACTACCATGGAAACCTGGATTGTGATTGGCTGTTGAGCCCTGTTTTTTTTTATTTTCCAAATTTTTATTGATTTTCGAATTTTTTTGTAACATTACAAAAACAACAATCATACAAGAATTAAATATATGTACATGTATAACATTAAAAGAACAATAATCAAATACGAATCACTGTAACAATTACCCCCCAAAAACAACAACAATCACACAAACAAACAAACAGACCTGATGTAAAAACTAAAAAAATCAGTCTCGGGTGGTTTGAACTGTATCATTATCAAAATATAATTATGGATAATTAAAATAAATTCTCAATAGGGGACCATTTTCTATAGTGCATGTTTTCTTTGTGCTTTTGTTTAGCAATTACCAATTCTATATGTCTGATTTTGCAAATGAACGTTTCAAAACCTATGAAACTTACTACTAAATTCCTGCATTTCTGAATATAAATGTATCTCTTCAATAAGATAATTAAGTGATTTAATAATATTTTATGTGGTCCCTTCCAATCCTTTATGAATCCAAACATCATTTTTTTCCTAGATAGATCCTCATATCTGACAGATAGCTTTAGACCAATTTTATCAACAAAAGCTCGTCTTAAATCTTCAGCAACCTTACACTCATAAAAAAGGTGTACAGGAGTTTCAGCTGTTGAGCCCTGTTACCATGGTAGTTGCTATTGATGGCAAAGTTAACATCAATGGTAAGGTTTATGCAACCGGCCCCAGAACTCTAGAATTTCTACAATTTTGCTTTGCCTTTAGTAATCACTTTCCTATTGGAACTCTATAGTCTCTGTGTTCAGTCTACAGGAATTAGAGTATTCAGTAGGTTAATATTACACGGTAAATTCTCACTATCTCTTTAATCAAGGTCAAGGGATTCAGTTAGTTGAGAAAAAAGGTGATTGTGTCATGAATTTGAAGAAAAAAATGTACTTGTAGGTTATTAAATGAGATTACAGTAAAGATTATGCTTCATCCATCATTATATTACTCTAAAACTGACAACTAAATGGTAAATTGTATTTGACTGTCTATTTCAGCAGGAAAGTGTTCTGTAAATAATCGATGATATAAGTCAATTTTTCCCTGGAAAGAAATTAACAAAGAATGAGAAACCTCCCTCCTATCCAAAATACATATATCACAATAGATCACTATGTTGAGATTTTTGTTAAAGTGCCTTCAGTAAAAGCTAAAAGGGTTCTAAAGAATCATGTATTTTTCTCTAAAGTTGCACATAAAAAGGAACATAACTTTTAATACTCATCTGGATATTATCCATTGTGATTCATGGAGACATGTTTGTTTTGATATCTCCTTTGTGGAATTGCTCAGGTGTAAGCTGTCACCGACATGGATATCTCGTCTGTGGTCAAGCAGTCAACTATCGTACACATCTGGCTGTTTTGTATCTTCATAATTAGCGCCCTCATCGTCACTTCAAGTCAATGTTTCACCCTGGTTATCTGGCCGTTCAATAGGAGCTGGTATCGTACGATCAATGGGCACCTCATCAATCTCATGTGGCTTCGTAAGTTTGTTAGATTTTAAAAAATAATAATAATAATAACTAGACTTTAATTCGTCACTTTGACGAATTAGGTGATACGTATGCTATTGATTTACATAATGAAGAATGCATTTTCACGATGTCATATAGTTTTATAAAATGCTTCTCCCATTATGATCTATCCATATGTCAAGTTTCTACTGTGTAGCCTTGATAATTATGGATGTATGGAAGATATATTGAGACAATTTGACCATTGACCCTAATTAACATAATGAGGCCTACACATACACATTACATATTCCGTGGTAAGAATGAAGTAAGCGAGGGAAAATGAAGGCAATGACAAATGAGTGAGAGAGAGAATATGGCTGGGTTCAAATTAAGTGTTCTTTAAATTATTAGACCCTGTACTGAGGATCTTTTTATCTGCCATGTTTTTGTTATTTGATGGCTTTTGACGCTACATAAAAATGCCGTCTTTTGTCACTAAATATTGTTAAAATAGCATTGTAGAGACGATGAACACTAATGCAAAGTCGTAAGCCATGAGAATGTCAATTTATATCTCGTTCTGCTAAATAACCCGAACAATAGAATCAATCAAGTGGAATCAAATGTTAAACAAATTTATCATGAGTTCTAAAATTTCAATTTGGTACTGCACGTCATAATAGTATTAAAGAGCAGCAATGGCGAACGATTGTCGCTAAAATTCAGAAATTGTTGCTTAGATTGCTTAGATTGCTTAAATTACCATGAGACATCAAGCTACATAGAACTATGATCGACAAACATGATATTGTTTTGAAAACAGTCTGAAAAATTGGAGGTAGAATGAATAAGAGATAATGTGGTCATGTAAACAAGTGCATTATGTCCATGTTAATCCCCTAGTTCCAAAATCATGATTGTATTTTCTAATTATTTCTCCTACATGTATATAATTTATTTCAATTTAAAGTAGAAATTCTAACAACGAATTGACAGTTTTGGTAGACATCTTGGATGTATCATAGCAATAAATTCTTGGCACATGACGTATTGTGTATACGATAATTATGATCAGAAGAAAAAGCATACAAATAACTATAAGAATAATAACAATAACACATACTTACTATAATAATGATTATAATTACGATATTTACTATAATTATAAATATAACAATGATAATAATAATGATTATTATGATACTGCTGCTATTACTACTACTACAACTACAACTACTAAGAAGAAGTAAATGAAGAAAAAGGGGTAGGAGAAGAATCATTTCAGCAATATTAGTGAGTATATTCTCAATGATTGAGGCATACACGTGCATACACATTACATATTCCGAAGTAAGAATGAAGAAAGCGTGGGAAAACGAAGGCAATGATAAATGAGAGCGACAAAGAGAGACAGAATATGGCCGGGTTCAAATTAAGTTTCCTTTAAATCAGACCCAGTACTGAGAATCTTTTTATGTGCCATGTTTTTGTTTTTTGACGGCTTTTGACACTACATAGAAATGCCGTCTTTTGTCGCCAAGTATTGTTCAAATAGCATTGTAGAGACAAGCCATGAGAATGTCAATTTCTATCTCGTTCTGCTAAATAACCCGACCAATAGAATCAACCAAGTGGAATCAACTGTTAAACGAATTTATCATGAGTTCTGAAATTTCAATTTGTTACTGCACGTCATAATAGTATTAAAGTAGGTATTCATTGATTTTAAAAACTAACTTTATTTTCATTATTGCAAAGTTGAAGCTTTGATTCGACAAGGTTATCAAAATTCAATGCTTGGACACATTCGAAGTAATGATTATTATAAATTACAAAACGCTTAAATACAGCCCCGGCATAGCACCTGAAGAGCTCTCCGAACGCTGCTGAGATGTGTGAGATCACAGTATGGACATGATTTGCACAAGCAGACGATGTCCCATGACATCTCACACATTTTCAGTGCCTGTGTTTTCATCTTCTCTTGAGTTCTTTCTCTTACTTCACTACCGTCAGGCTAAATGTATAATCTATTGCCTCACTCTAAACCCGCGCATGGTTTATTTTGATGACAAATGCAGCGATACAAAAATAAAGGAATCTGTCACTTGTAAGCAAAATAAGACGCCATTGTATATTCAGCTGCACACTACGCGGTATGTTCAGTGTTTCAAGAGGGAACAAATGCCGTCCTTAATATCATTCCGGGGGTTTTTCAATTTGAAAGTCTAGTTTCTTTGATTGTTAATTAACCCCTATCCTGTGTATTTACAAGCAAAAGATTTTAGTTATCAGAATCGGGTCATATCCCTTTTGAATGGTTTGACATGCCATTACATTTATATACACTAAACTCATTATAATTTGAAAAATAATAGCTTTGCAATTATGTTCATTCTTTATGGGATGTCGTCTGCTTGGGCAGTATTGGTCCATATAGTGACGTCATTAAAACATCGTTATTTTTCCGGCGAATCTGCTATGGAGGTGGTTGTATTTGTATTTTTATAAATCACCCGATATGTCACCCCATTAGATCCCGAGATACAAGGGTTCAAAGGTAGGCCCGCCACCCCATTTTTGAAAAAATCTCAAAATTTGGTGGGCCGTATCTCCCAAACCCCTCACCCAATTGACCTAAAATTTTGGATTTGGTGCTGTGAGATCACACTCAACAAGTACACTAAGTTTCATCAAAATCAAAAATGGTCGGGTTAAGATTTTCAGATTTTTTGGGTGATTTGACATGGAATGACCCATAATTATAAATATAACAATGATTATTATGATACTGCTGCTATTACTACTCCAACTACTACAACTAGGAAGTAGAAGATGAAGAAGAACGGGGAGGAGGAGAATCGTTTTAGCAAAATTAGTGGTTAAATTCTCTATATATGATTGAGGCATACACTCAAATTTAAATCATAATCAAACAGGCATCTGAAGTTTTTAGATGCTTACTATTTGCTTCATGTTGTTGAAATTTGCCCCCGGCTGGATCGCACCCTGCTTCCCTGAATCAACAAACAAACTTTGAGAAAAGATTTTTGTCTCCCTTTAATTCAAAGTTGTTTTACAATTTTTTTACCATTGAATAATACCCGCATTCATTCAGCTAAACTTGACACGAGGTTATTTTCGGCTAATTGTTTATCGTCTATTTTGTAGAAAGTTACAAACCCTCGTGTAATTTAAATAACGTTGGAAATTTGGAATTGAATTGGGGCCTTGAGCAAAGAATACACGTTAAGATGACCAAAAGTGCGAGGTAGTTTCCACTGCCTGTGGGATCATAAAATATGTCATCTAAATCATTTGCCTGTAGGTCTGGAGTATCAAAGGTCGATAAATTTAAGATCAGACTTGCGAAGGGTCATTTTATCCAATTTTGATCTGACAAATTTGAAGCATAAAAAAGAATCAAAAGCAGTTAGAGAAAAGACATCTCCAAGTCTCCAGCGGTAAGACAATTAATGACGAGCACAATTGAAGACCAATCTAAGACGCATTATAGTGACGGCAGACTTCTGTGGGACGTTTAAAATTTTACTGCGATCATTTGAGTTTGATCGTCGTCACAACTGCATGTAAAAACTGAAGTTTGATTTGGACTCGTCATCTTTGACCACAAATTTCGTCATGATCCCGTCATCAAAATGGAAAATAATAAATACAACTCATACTTAATCCACTTATTAAAAGAAATTGGATTATCCGGCCACTTACAGAAGTTATGACCAATTAAACATAGGCATGTTTTTGTTTTAAAATTGCAAATGTGTGTGCGCGCGTGTTGTTATCTTTGACGCCCATTTATTCCATCATTATGTGTCAAAATTGACTGAAATTTACAGGTATTGTTGAGGAAAGTAAAAGGAATCCAAAAAATGCAAAAAAAGGAATTTCTCTGTTCCACGTACGTTATGCGCGCAAATACGCGCAAACCCGACCCGCACGCGTGGATATTTTTGAAACGCTTAAAATTGTCTAAAACGTATAGAAAATTACTTGGTTTGGGGTTTTATGCACTTTAAATTCTTATTTCTTTTTGACGAGCGCGTACGCGCACGTTTGAAATGGAAGGCGCATGTGCGTGGGCTAAAATTCTGACGCATGACCTGAGCATGATTTTATGCCAAATTTGAATTGAAATTGATATTGCATGGCTGAGGTACGACCATTAATGACATTTCACATACTGACGTCATGATGACATCACGATGACCTGGCGTCGCTGTAAAGTCAGGCAGTTCTAAGTTGGACTAAGATCTATCTTCAGGCCAAGTTTCATGACAATGGCTTGTTCCATTATTGAGATATCCTGCGAACAAGTTTATGGAAGAATTATAATAAATTCTTCCATACAGAAACAAAATAAATACTAGACTTTAATTCGTCACTTTGACGAATTAGGTGATACATAAATATGCTCATGTGTAACATAATGAAGAATGCATTTTCGTGATTTCATCTTTCGTTATAAAATACTTCTCCCATTTATGGTCTATCCATGAGTCAAGTTTCAACTGTGTAGGGCAGAGGGAGACAGAGCAATAGAATAAGAGGGAGGCAAGGCAAGAGAGAGAGAGAGAGAGAGAGAGAGGCAGAGGGTGAAAGAGTAGAGAGAGAGATATACTGTAGATAGATGCAGAGACAGACCAAAAAAAGGGATAGGGGCAAAACATGAAACCAAGGAATACATCAATCCATTGAATATTAAGAAACTGAAACATCTTTAAATTGTTTTCCACCTCATTCCATATTCTGGACCCTTCAGGACATTCAAAGAAGATAAGACGATAGGTTTCTACCTCTTTTCTACAAAAGGAACATACATTTGACTGTGTTAATCCAAAAAGATACAGTTTATCATTACAAAATATGATGTTATGTAAAAGTTTATACTGAAATTCCCTGGTGACCATGATTAAGAGTGGTATAGCGCCCCCTTTAGGTATTTGATAGAGATTTGTAGAATCAGGATTGCAGAAAAAGTCGCCTAACACGCAAACTAAGAAAATTCTGACATGTCGCCTTTAATTGAATTTTTCACTATGATGATGTCATCAAAAAGATAAATGACGTACGTCATTCTTGTAGATAATTTTCTTAGCTACACTGTATTAAAATTTGGGAGAACATAGAGCACAAATAAGCTAGATAGTGCTCAAAGATCAATGTCATGTAGATTCATGATGTGAACGAAATTCACCTTACATAGGCATAACACTCAAATTGAGAAAATTCTTACATGTGGCCTTTAATTGAATTTTGTACTTTGATGACATCAATGAAATAAAAAGCAGTGTGTATTTATCTTGTAGGCAATTGCCTCAGCTACAAGATACCACAATTTGGAAGAAAATCAGTCAATATTATGAGAAATACACTAAATTTTCCATAAATATAATGACGTCATAATATGCAATTTTGTATTTTGACTTCCAAGGCCATTATGATGACGTCGAGATGCATTTAATGGCCAAATGAGATATAAAATCATATCTTCGACTCATACTCTATCTAAATATGAAAAAAACTTGGCAGTCCTTATTCATCCCAATGGACTTTTTATAGGCATGTTTTTGCCCATATATGCTATGTAATACATGAGCTTGCGCGCACGGATATTTATCTTGAACGGACGCTCATTCCGTTATTAATAGTGATAAAGAGATGAACATGGTATCAAAATGCTTGGAAAAATATGTCAAACATGATGACAGAGAAAATTGTAAAATACCAGAACGCGCAAAAAAAACGCGCGCGCATGCGCGTTTGAGTGTTTTTTTTGTCAAATGCTCCATATGGCTTGAAACGTATGCAAGAAAAATTTGGGATGATTTAGAGCATTTTAAATTTTTGCAAATTATTTCTGAACTTGTCATATTTGTCTTCATTTCTAAGATATTCTGGCAAGTGGCTGCATATCAAAATGACCTTTCCCCTTAAGATTTTGTCACAGACGACGGGACCCAAGATAAAGACTTTTTTTACTGGAATGCAGTGTTCTTTCTGGTTTAACAATTCAATGAGATATGATGGAGCATTACTGATGGAAACCCTGATAAGTTAATAAAAGTACTTTAAAGGCACACTGTCCTACTTGTAGCTACTTGCTCCCTCTATATAGAAAACTTCCCCAATCGGTGCCTGTTGGTCCCCCATGATCCTCTTTTTCTTATGTTTAATAAATGAGAGCTGAGTTAATGAGATAGCCACCTGTCACAGTACCTCTCTGGCTCGCTGGGTGGTCTAATCCCTTCTAGCTGAAGTAGTAAAGCCTACCTTTAAACTTAATGTGGGACTAGATATTTTTATTAAACTATTAGTCATATTTGATATGCAGTTCAATTGATGCTCAAGCACTACAATTGTTGCAAGTATAGGCAGACTCACTTCAAAATTTCTTTTTGATCATAAACTTGGTTGTATTTCTGAAAAAGACTGAGATGATAGAGTGACCAAAAAAAAGGAGTGTTTTAAAGGTCGGTTGTCCTAGTTCAGCCAGAAGGGATTACACCACACAGCGAGGTTACTGACAAGTGGCTATCTCATTAACTCAGCTCTCAATTAACATAAGAAAAAGAGGATCATGGGGGACCAACGGGCACCGATAGGGGAAGTTTTCTCTATAGAGGGAGCAAGTAGCTACAAGTAGGACAGTGGGGCTTTAATAAGATGTTGAAAGATACCAGATGTTCATGCCACTCAAAATGTGGGTTTAACTATCCGGAGAATTGAGTCAGCCAGAGATTCTCGCCGGTGACACTTCAACATATGATTTGTAGTGTAATCATTCTGATGAGGATGCTTGTTCTGTGATAAATCAACCTCATCAGAGGTTCATACATCCAAACTTGACTAATAAAGTTAAATCTAATTTTAAATGACCAACTGGCCTGTCATATAATGATGCTTTTGACCGGTGATTAGTACATTTACTTTCTAATGATTGGTTGCACATTTAGAGAAATAAATGCATGGCCACATATTTCCTCTTAAAACCAACCATTTCATAAGGATTATGTTCTTTTTTCATAATATACAATCTGTAGACATTTATTTATGTAATTTTATGGAAAAAATGTCAAATGTTCTAATTGGAGAAGGAATCCTACTTGTTCTTTGCAGAAGTGGTCTGGTTAACAGACTACTGGTCAGGATCCAAAGTCCATTTCTATGGGACCAAGAGGTTTCTGGAGAAGGTCAAGGAAAACCACTCCCTTCTGGTGGTCAATCACAGGCAGGGTGTCGACTGGTGTGTCATCTGGCAAATGGCGGAAAGATTTAAGATGTTAAGAGTGAGTTCCTTTATCAAATATCTCTGTCTTCTTCTTCTTCATGTCTTTTTCCCCTCTGTTTGTCCTCGTGACAGGCACATGTATGTTCTATAAATGCCTTTAATTTTGCAGTTATGAACATTATCAAACTGATTTCATAATTTACACATGAGTAGTTGTGCACTAAAACTGTTTGATGTAGGTCAGTATTTTTAATGACTATCTAGATGACAGATAGTCAAGCCCCTCCTACTACCCTTCCTCTCCAACCGGTGCTATAGTTCTCTTTGGAGCTATAAGCTCAAGAAAGATTACAACAGTCCATTTCAGGACTACACAAACACTCAAGTAAGAAAGATTACCGACAGTCTTTTTCAGGACTCCCCAATCCTCCCTCTCTCTCTCACATAGTGCAACCGTATTAGCCTACTGTATGTCTACATCACCATGCAAGCCGATAGTCCGATACTTATAAGCAGCAACTAAATATATCTTGTGCATGATTACTTGTCCTTCTACTAAATCCAAATGTTTAAACAAGAAATGAGTCATGACTCTGCTGTTTTCAGAAGTGTTCATGAAGTGATAAAAAAGTGCATTTGTTGCACAATGTTTTATCCAAGTTTATCTTTGTTTACCATTGTATTTTCTGTATATGTAAGCATATTTTTTCTTCTCTTAAAGCTCTATGTAATTCCCATCCACTATTTATCTCTAAATTGATACTATTTGTACACGCTAACAACTAAAATTCAAGTCATCATTTAAAAGGGCTGATGAGTGAATCCTTTTTCAAAATGTCAGATTAACACTTTTAACATGCTAGATTTGAATTTCAAACTTCAAAGTCTTAATCTCCATCTACCATTTAACAAAAATTGTAACTCCTAGGCCCTATTTAATGGTGATTTCACATTCTAGTTTTTAGAGCGTATATGAATTGATGATTCTGTTGAAAAAGTTAGGGCGTGTTTATGCTTCACTTTTGAAGGCAGAATGAGCGATTTGTAACGCTCATCGTAAACGCTCATCGTAATCGCAGTTCCACGGTGTACTGTTTATGCTCACTTCTCTGGCTCCTCCAGGCAATTCTCCCTGGGTGGCCTTAATTGGCCTTGCAGCTGGATTCGACCTTCGCGAACCTGCACTGTGCATGCTACATAGACCCACTAGAGGTCAGTGCGTTGACCCCATTTAAACACGTTTACAAATTGTAAAAGCATCTTTTTGTGAGTTTACGATCAGCGATCGTGATCGCCGTTTTTCGGTGATTCTACAAAGGTGAGCATGGACACAACCGCGTTTTAAACTAAACGCGTAACAGATGCCTGATTCTGGCCAGAAAAAGTGAAGCATAAACACGCCCTTAGAAAGGTTTATAAGTTTCTTGATTATGTGACTGTTTTTTGCAAGTACAGTACATACAAAATAACTAACTTTTATTGTAAACTCAAGGGGCCGAATTCACAAAGGGGGTTTACATTTAACCCATGGTTTAAAACCCCACTGTCGTACTTGTAGCTACTTGCTCTCTCTATAGAGAAAACTTCCCCTATCGGTGCCTGTTGGTCCCCCATGATCCTCTTTTTCTTATGTTAGTTGAGAGCTGAGTTAATGAGATAGCCACCTGTCAGTGACCTTGCTGTGTGGTCTACTCCCTTCTGGCCCAGTAGTATTGAGGGTCTTTAAAACTTCATTTACATAACCCATGGTTTAAAAATTAGCGCAAAATAAGCGTATCTTGCCTTGCGTGCGTCTAATATTGGACCTCTTGACTGTGTTGCGCTTATTTTGCGCTAATTTCAAACCATGGGTTATGTAAATGAAGGTTAAACCATGGGTTAAATGTAAACCTCCTTTGTGAATTCGGGCCAACGGTGCCAGATGCTAGTAGGCCTACATTTACATGTATTTGAGGGACTTGATAATTAAAGATCTATGCCTTACCCGCAGTCAATAACTCGTTCAGACAATCAGAATTCATTGTAAAGCTAATACGAGCATTGTACTATATATATAATAAACCACAAAAGAGTAGTTGAACATTTATTCTGTGCAGATACAATCAAGTTTGAGGTTGCGTTAGCTTGTACCGTGAATCTCTGTGTATAAGACGCACCCTATTTTTGGGCCAAGAAAAAAAAGTGGAGGAATTATTATTATAAACTTCATATTGAGGTCTATTAGAAAGATTACTTTCAAACCAAGATGACAGACAAATTTTAGTGTTGTTGTAGTTTCCGAGTAGTGAGTCAACACACCGATTACTGAGCTGGGAGACATTGCCAGGCATAGTGCCAGGTGGAGGGGCATAAATCGAAACTTTAAAAAAATTGTCTTATACACGGAGATTTACGGTAGGTAAAATGAGTGTTTCCCGGCTGGCAGTCTAGAATTCTGAGTACCCATTGTTTCGGTCTCGTGTGAACCCTTGCCGTTGTTAGCAGACAATCGTTTATAACTTTGAGGGTTTCATAAACGAGAAGGTTAGTGTGAACATAGCTACAATCAGCTTCTTTTTCTTTTTTTCTCCATCATTTATTAATTGAATAATGCTTACATAAGAGACATAAAATTATATCGATTACAAAGAAAAACACATGAATTATACTTAACGTTATCCAAAAATGAATTATACTTTTTTGTTTAACATAGTCAACATTTTTTTCCAGAGGTGATACTTTTCGACATTTGCCCTCCATAATATTTCCTTTAAATAAATGTTGAATATGTTTGTGAAATCACATTTTCTTTTTTTGCGTATATAAACAAACCAGCTTTTCTTTTTCTTGTTGTTGATAGGGTGCCAAGTGTCTGATGAAGAAAGAGATCAAGTATGTGCCTTTCTTTGGTTGGTCCTTCTGGTTGACAGAGCAACTGTTTGTCAACCGGGATTATGCTAAAGACAAGAACAGTCTTATGAAACAGCTCAAGAACATCACCACATATGACTTTCCTACTGTGGTAAGTATGGGGGTAGATAGGATATGAGAGCTATGTACTGGTATGCAAGACTTCCCTTGCATATACCATGCCTGATAATTAACCGATTCAAATCCATTTCCTGATTATTATTTTTTTCCCCAATTATTTTTCTTCTTCCTGATTTTATCCCTATTTTCCAGATTTCCCCCTTATTTTCCCAATTTTTTTCTCCCAATTTCCTTCTCAAGGGGGGGGGGGGGGGGGGGGGGGGGGGGGAATGTTTTTTTTCCAATGATGCCATTTTTTTTCTTCCCCAAATCCTTTTTTTTTTTTACTCAAGGGGGGGGGGGGGGTGGGGGCTAAGGTTTTTTAGTGCTCACTATCACCCTGTACTGTACCGCTTAATTGCCATTTGGTCTAATGATACAGTTGTGAGGTATATAATCACACAATATAATACTGATAACCACTTGATTTAGTGGCAATGAAAATTCAACTTGTTTTTTGTTATTTTCTTTTGTTGTTTTTGTTCAATGTAGACCCTGATATTTTGTGAAGGCACTCGATTCACGGAAGAGAAATACGAGAAGAGCCAAGCATTTGCTCGAGAGAAGGGCCTACCATGTCTGAAGCATCACTTGGTCCCCAGGACTAAAGGCTTTAACCTGTGTATAGAGGCATACAAGGGCAAAGGTAAACAGGTCAAGCAAAATAAAACCTTAATCGTCAACTGTTAACCAAGTCAAAACTTGTTATAAGACACATTTATTTAAAAATTGCTTTTGATGATTAACTAAATCTCTGTTCACATTGATGTGTACTTCATATGTATTGTAATTTTTAGGTTTATTTGTATTTTCTTTTTGTTTTGTTTAATATGTAATTGTTTATCATTGTATTTTGTTTGTTATAGCGCTTTAATAGAGACTTCGGTGGTAAGCGCTTTATAAGCAACATTTTTATTATTTTATTATTCAACTACTACTAAAAGAAAGCAGAACGTTAAGTTTGAAGATTTCAGCAAGAAAAGAATAATGTTTGGATTCATCAAAGATTGGAAAGGGCCCAATATGATGCTATTGAATCACTTTTTGCTTATGTTTAAAAGATATATTTATATCCAAAAATGCAAAAACGCAAAACCATGTTTAATTGGGCTAATGTCTTTTATCAGTAACACGAAATATATAGAACTTAACATTGCAAAACAAAAGAAGATTGAAGGAATGCACTATAAGAAATGGTCTCCTGTGGAAGAATTATTTTGATTTTAATCCTATGATATATACTGTAGAAAAGAAAGTGTTACCCACTATTTGTGTATTGTTGGACGTTTTTCATCTGTTCTTACCTTTTGTAATTATTGTGCAGTGATTTTTATGATTATTGTTATCATGATGTATGTACGAATTACTTGATAAATAAAGGTTTTAAAAGATAAAAAAAAGAAAGAAAAGAAAGCAGAACATTCAGACTAGTATTCAGTTAAATAATTGTTGTCAGAAAAAAATAGTAATTGTAAATTAAACTCCGTAGTGAGCTTCATACTTGGCCAATATCGGTATAAAGTTGTATCTCTTGGCTAGGAATTTTATCTAGCAGACGGAAAGCCAAATTATTTGAGAGCCTTGAGATGGTTCTGTTACGATGAAGACCAAAACAATTTTGTGAGCGTCACTCCTACCATACACTCCCATACATTTGTGTATAACTTTGTGTGCAGTGCGATTTTTATTAAGCTACAGTTGAGTAGCTCGACTCAACCAATTTGACTTTCCAATATGACGTCATCGGGTCTAAGAATTTTGTCTGATCTGTCGTCTTGGTTTAGACAAAGTGCTTACCATGTTAACAATATGGATAAGGCAACCTTCTTTAATAACCTAAACAAATTCTAAGACATTTCTTTTCTTAGACTTAAGAAAAATTTCTTAGAGATCTATTGAAAACGGGCCCAGACTTTTATGTTTTATTGTGATTCTTATATTTTTTCAAATTTCAACACCTCATTACTGTTTTCTTGTTTTTCATTGCAGTACCTTTTATATATGATGCTACAATAGCTTACCAATACAATGCTCAGCCCTCGATCTATGATCTTATCTGTGGGAAACAGTTTGACTTCCATTTATATGTAAGGTAAGACTAATCATAATTTCTATGTTTCATAATGTGTGTTATTCAACACACTCCCAGATCCCAATCAAATGATTGGTCGAACGAACGCAGTCACTTTTGATTAACTCATTCGGACTATCCAACCGTTTTGAGGAGTTAGGCTAACTCAGACTAAGGGACAACTCAGTCAGTTTTTTGCATGTTTAGGGTTAAAGGTAGGGGTAGGGGTAGGGGTATGGTTAGAGTTAGAGTTACATGTAGGGTTAGGGTTAGGGTAAGATGACAACAATTGACCGTATTTGCAGCTAGGTCGCGTTGTCCCATGGTCCGAGTTAACCCGGATCCATTTTTAAGTACAGGATGACAGTAGTGCGCGTAGAGCTATTTAAAGTGCGCTTATGTAGTGTGTAGGCTATTGAGCACTGCGCATGAATGAGTGCAGTGGTAAGCACGCTTGTACTCTCTGTGAAAGCTACAGCAGTACTGTTTTTCAACCTGTACAAATATGATAGATACAAAATGTATTTGACAGCATTATAAAGATTAATCGTATCTTCTAATATTTTCCTTTTTACTTCCAATTTCAGAGAACTTCCACTGGATGAAGTACCAACTGATTCAGAAGACGCTACAGCACAATATTGTCATGATATGTACAAACAAAAGGTAAATTTTACTGGGTGCTTTGAGACATCTTTTGGGGATTGGATGACATTTTTGGAAGATGGAGCTATGTTATTAATGTTGTTTGAAATATATATATTTATACATTTTTATGCCTCCGCTACAAAGTAGCCGGAGGCACTATGTTTTCTGGTTGTCCGTCCGTCCGTACGTCCGTCCGTACGTCCGTACGTCCCGTTCTCGTGATCGCGTTATCTCAAGAACCAATTGATGAATTCTCTCTAAACTTGGATCATGTATGTATCTTGCAGAGCCAATGAACTGATTAGATTTTGGGGTCACAAGGTCGAAAGTCAAAGGTCACAGGGCTCATTATGTATTCAAAAATAGCTTGTGATCGCAATATCTCAAGAACCGATCAATGGATTCCTGCCAAACTTGGGTCATATATGTATCTAACAGAGCCAATGAACTGATTAGATTTTGGGGTCACGAGGTCGGAGGTCAAAGGTCACAGGGCTCATTATGTATACAAAAATAGCTTGTGATCGTGTTATCTCAAGAACCGATCGATGGATTCGTGCCAAACTTGGGTCATGTATGTATCTAACAGAGCCAAAGTAAAGTTGCTCTATGGCGGAGGCATCATTTTTGACTGCGCGCAGTCAAAATTCCATCTAGTTTCCTCATAACATATAACATTGCTTCTTTGAATTACTTGTTACATTCAGAAATAATTGGACTTCATTCTTTGCTTAGTATGAATTCATCAATAAGCTTCTTAATATGTTATTCCTTTCACTAATATTGAAAGTTTCATTGGAACTTTTTTAGCTGTTTCTCTTTAGAGAAGTAATACTTTAAACATACAGAACAAATTATTTGACTATGATTGGTCCCCTTTCAGATTGAATTCTCTGTCCTTTCAGGAACCAATTCAGGCCCTGGCTCCTCTCTGACACTTGCCACGTTTCACATTGGACATAATATATGGGGCTCTAACATTTCAATGTCTCATTTCATTTAATTGAGTAAAAGGAATGCATAGCTACAAAGCAATTCCTATTTTGGAGGAATGATTCCTATGTCTGGCCTTCAAGATATTGTATTAAACCCTAGATTCTTATCTTTTTGTTAAAAGTTCTTTGTGAAAAGTATATAAAGTAAATTGTATTCCTAATTTTGCCTTGAGAGATACCTATTTTATGCTGTGAAAGATTAGCAGGTATTCAAAGCAACTGGTATATTCCAAGCAACTGGTGTGTGCGGGCAAGCACTGAATCCAATGACCAGGGTAATAGTATACTTGTTAAGCGCTTAAAGACATTTGTAATAAGCGCTATATAAAAATTAAATATTATTATTATATTTGTTCTGCCTTGCAGGATGAAGCATATGACTACTTTCTGCGGAACGACACATTTGAGGGTTACGATGCGTCGAGACCAGGACATGTCCCTCCTCGCACACTCCTTCCACTGGTAGTGATGTCATCCTGGATGGTGGTCGTCGGTATACCGCTTATCTATTACGCCCTCTCCATCCTCCTATCTGGTTCCACACTCATGATCATCATCGTCTGTGGGGGCTCATTCGCAGGTACGTAACATCAAACTTGAAATGTATTGCATTCATTTCTACTCCATCTTTTTTTTAAATCCTGTCTAAACATGACAAATATATACATGTAAAACAAAGCAAAATAGGTCCATAGTTTAAAGCATCCATGGAATTTTACTTTGAAAATTAAGGCATTTCAAGAAAAGCCTTTTAATTTTACTTAGTTACCCCATTTTAATCGTATTTGTATAAAGTTGAGTTCTGGTAATGCGATTGCATTGTGAAAGAAACGTTGTGGAATCGATCAGAAAAGGTTGATAAGTATTGGTGTGTAACTGTAAGGTTCTGGAATCATCAAAATGATAAGAAATTTGGCCCAGTCTTGGTAAAGTTACAAGCACTGTACACAGAAAGATGTAAATGGGACTACACGAACATGTGGTATAAAAATCTGTCCTGATTTTTATGATGTTACATGCGATATTTTGAATATTAAGGCATTTGATTAGCCATGCTTTTCAGGGAACTCTTTGTATCTGATGTTCTTTCACACTTGGATGATACAATGATAAAGCTCACAAATTATTTGTCACCTCTTCCCCGAACTCGACCTTCTCTTTAAGGGGTCATTTTCCCTCATGTCCAGGCCATCCTTTAATCATACCATTTTCTTTTTTCATTCCTGTCGTTGTTACAGTTTTCAGATTTTCCAAGTCCTTACTGAAAGTGACGGATGTTACTAGGGGATCAACGTACGGGAGCAGTAAGAGTCGAAGCAGTAAGGGGTCAGAGTTCACGCCCAATGGAGATCACATCCCTTTGACTAACGGGGATAAGAAGGATTCATAATCAAGTACTTGTGCAAAATAAAAAATTGTTTTTAGCAAATTTTTTATATTTCAATGACGAAATTATAGTTTATACAAATTATATTCAAAGCAACCTAAAATTCTATGCACTTCGAGATTTTAAAAAATGGTTGTAGATGAGGAATAATTTCTGAAAAATATATTGTATAGGATTTATGAAAATTTGATGTGGGTGCATGAGGTTTAGCTTTTACAACAGTCTTCAGTTTGTCCGAGTACGGACTGAAAGTGAGCGATGCTACTAAAGGATTGTCGTACGGGAGCAGTAAGGGGTCAGAGTTCACGCCCAAACCAGATCAGATCCCATTGGCTAACAGGGATAAGAAGTGCGTGTGCAAAAAGAAATATTGTTAGCAAATTTGATATATTTTGATTGATGAAATTATAGTTTATACAAATTATATTCAAAGCACCATACATTTCTATGCATTTTAGGATTTAACACAAAAATGCTTCTGACTCTGAAGATGGGTACATTCTGACCAAAATGCACTAGTGCTTTAGGTTTAGCTTTTACATGGCATACTTAAAGGAATAGTTGAGTTCTGTTTTCAGATCGCAAATGCCTTCAAAGTGCATGGTTATTGCTCTTATTCTTATCTATGACATTTATAGTGCCCTTTTAGAATTTAAAATTGCTATGAAGGTAATTTTAGACCCCAAAATGTGTGAAATTTAGCCAATACAATCATACCAATTCAGCTCCACTTAAAAAAAACATGCATTTAAAAAGAGCATGTATAGCATGTGTATGTATGTGCACTACCAGTAGTCTATGGGCATTTTCAAGGAACTATTCAAAAGTAATGCTAAGTAATTGATTATGTAGTAAATGCATTCACCTACGGGTAGTTGTATAATTGATGGATTGGCAACTACATCTACCAGAATTAATCAAAATTACAAATTCTTCCTTCATGTTTGAAATATTGAAGAGCGCAGTGCTCGGTGTGTGCTTATTTTATATGCAGAGTTTCAGGCTATCATGACAATCAGGGAGAACTTGGAAAATGAGCTTTCTTTGAACCAGTTCACGCTCAGACAATCAAGCAATGTAGAGGTCAACCATGCCTGTCACTGTTCCTTTGGGCACCCGTACTTCAGTCTCTGTATATGAAGAGCTTAATTCCAAAAGGAGCTAAATCCACTTTTGATGCAAAGAGTTTTAGATATCGGAACATTGTGCACTTAAGTACCCGTCTTTCAACAAAATCATTTATCTAAATTTTGGGAGAAATTATGAAAAAAATGCATCTTCTAATATCACTTTTCCATAGACGCCTGTGCAAAATCTAGTAAACAATTTCTTTTTTCTTTGAAGTTACAAAAATGAATTTAGCTCCTTTTGGAATTAAACTATTTGTATGTTCCTATAACTCACTGGGTTATGTAACAGACTGAGATACAGTGGACATTATTCAAGAACACAGGATTTGTATATTTTCTGACCAGTTCAAGCTGTGTTTTGTATTTTTATATATTTTTTGTATTACTGATTGTAGCTTAATTATTTATCCCACCAAAAATTAATTTGCTGCAAATCTGTAAAGATTTTTGCTATTTCAAACAGTAATACTTATGATTTATGCAATTTCAATTATTATTTTGGGTATTTTGGGTATTTCATGTTTTATTGATCCTTTTTGTTTCATATTAAACATCACATAGTATCAACATAAATTATGATGGATCATATCATGAAATATAAATGACTTGAAATGTACATGTATAACATACATAAAAACAATCAAGGGACTTGTTGTTGATTGCTAGTATTAAAAGATTACAAGCTTACAAGAGACAACCAGAAATAAGCAATGCTCATTAAAAAAACAAATTATACAAAGACCAGGCACCTGGTCAAATCAAGGAAAAAATATAAAACGCAACCTCCCATTCTTACTGACCCTTCATAATGTTCAAAATGCTTGGCAGCATGGATGACTAATTTGTTTTGTTTTTGTTTTGAAATTTCAATTATTTTTAAACAGTATTCTATAACTTTGGAATTATTCAATGGTTTTCATCTTTGATCACAAGTGTTCTTATTTATATGATCCGTATAACAAGTGTGCTTTTTTTAGCTTAGCTAGTCAGTTAATCTTTGCTTTTTAAGATGTGTTTGGGAAATTTGCAATGAGAAAAAAGAAGTAAAGATGATGGTGCACCAAAGTGTGCTCTTGGCAAGATTTCTCAGTTTTAAGGGTGCTGTGCAGGACATGTATTCATTTTGTAATTTAAAAAAAAAAAATTTGTCAGGGAGTTTTTCTTAATACCGTAGAAAGATGAAAAACTTGAAAATGCTGAGGAAGGTTTTCTTATTGGTGCTTTACAGTATTAATTTTCTATAGTTTGTAATCATGATTTGTACTTACGCTCATACAATTCTCAACAAAAAAACTGTCAGGGTGAAAGGTGAAAAAGCATTGAGTCTTTTCACAAAAGAATGCACAGAAAATTCATGTACACTTACTTCGTATTTCATGTTGAAGTCGATAGATTTTTTTTTTTTAAATCTTTGATTGTGTGAATTGAGCAAATTGGTTTGTGCTTGCATGTAAAACCATTAGCTCCCTAGTTCAGAACAAGAGGGGAAAAAAAGAAAAGTGATTTGCATATTATATAATAATAACAATAATAATACATCACATTCATAACGCGCCTAATACTTTGTTTCTAGGCGCAGTACATATTACAGTGGTCATCTGATTCAGGTCTTAACCGCAAACAATATATGCACATTCTCCACTCCCTGGGGAGCATTCCGGCCCGGTCGCCAATTTACAAGCGCAACTTGCTCATCCAAACACATTAACTTTCGCATTCTACCAGGTACCCATTTAGCACCTGGATGGTGAGTGGCAAATGTAGATTTACGTCTTGCCAAAGGACATTAGTGCCGTGGCGGGACTCAAACACCGTACCTTGCGATCAGCAGTTGAGTGATTTATATACTAGACCACAACACCTCTACTGGAGCCATTCAGTCGTTGAGAAAAAAGGGTGGAACCAAAAAAAAGCAGTAACTTGCATATTGCATGTAGGTACCAAGGACTTAATCAGCATTTGTCTGTTGGGTTAGGGGAACTGGTCATATCAATCTCAGAGAAGCCCAAAATGCCTATCACATTTTCAGGTTCATATTTTAATTCCAATGTGCATTTATAAAATTTGTTATAATTGCCCACTTTTTGGGGATTGTGATGTCATTGGTTTAGTGTTGTATTGATAAATTTAAATTTTATACGTCTACATCAACGTGGAGTAGAGGTAACTTTACCATTCTAAAGTGTATTATACAACAATTTAATTCAGAAGGTGCAATTGGATATCCTTTTTGGAACATTTTAAAAGAAAACAAAAAAATTTCACATTGTCAAAATATTATTTTCTTATTTTTTATTTTTTATAGATTCAATGTGAATTTGTATCAACAAAAAAACTTCACTTATCAATGCTTTTATAATAGAGCTGAAAATCAGACAAAACCTCAAATTAAATGATACTGTTAACATCATTTTATGCTCTCAATTCTGTAAATTATTTCAAGAATTTCGCAATGCCATAACATGTTCAAAAGAAGCAATTGTTCTGTTAATAGGTGCCTATTATTTTGTGCAAAAATTGCACATGAGGCAAACGAGCAATCGCGCAGAGAGATGAAGAAAGCAATCCAAGTGTTATACAGATTTTTTTTTTTTTTAGGGAAAGTTGAGTTCTGTTTTCAGACCGAAAATGCCTTCAAAGTGCATGATTATTGCTCTTATTCTCATCTATGACATTTCTAGTGCCCTTTTACAATCTAAAATTGCTATGAAGATAATTTTAGACCCCAAAATGTGTGAAATTTAGCTAATATGATCATACCAATTCAGTTCCACTTTCAAAAAAATATGGTGACAGTTAATTAATTAATTGATTAAAAATAACAATACATGGGCCGACTGGTTGTGCGTAATATAACAAACACAAAAAAGCCAACATCGGCATTGGCTGAAATATGACATAAAAGGCGCCATTTCGTTTTTTCAACGGCTTTTTCAAGTTATCAAATATTTGTGGTGGTACACAAGTATTAGAAATTGTTATATTTGGGCAGGTCCAAGCTATTTGGATTGTGACGTACGGGACATTTAGAGACTTTAAACAAGAAATAACAACAGATGAAATTATTTATATGGCTATCTTTTGGTATGAGTCTGTGGCTATTATGGGCTAGTTCATTTGTGGAAAGTTTTAGTTCTGACCAATTTTTTAATTAATTTTTAATGTAATTAATGTGCTGCGTGACGTACGGGACCACAGCGTCCCGTACGTCACGCAGCACATTAATTACATTAAAAATTAATTTAAAAATTGGTCAGAACTAAAACTTTCCACAAATGAACTAGCCCATAATAGCCACAGACTCATACCAAAAGATAGCCATATAAATAATTTCATCTGTTGTTATTTCTTGTTTAAAGTCTCTAAATGTCCCGTACGTCACAATCCAAATAGCTTGGACCTGCCCATTTACAGATATTTCAGCCGTCTCTCAACCGATTTTGATCAAACAAAGATGATTTTGTCATTTAAATTGTATGTTCTTTCAAATTTGACACTCAGTTTTTCCATTATCTCACAAAAAAAATATTTTGTGTAGCGCCATCTGCAACAGAACTCAGCTATCCCTTTAAATGTTACAAACAGCTACATTTGCTTTTCCTGTAAAGTGAATTCTAATGAAAGTAGCTTTAGAAAAAAGTATTATAATGAAACTACTTCTGAAAATGACAATCACATTATTTATATATTGCAGCTTATTTAAATTATTCAAATCTACTGGATTTTTAACCTGTGTTTAATTGTTACTACATGTATTAGTTATTGTTATTGTTTGCAAATATCAGGGTAGATTACATACTTAAGACTTATAACAATGAACACCAACATACTAAGGCTTTTCGTCTTGCACCCATCAGCGTAAATCCAAAGAATGAACATAAAGCCAGAAATCAGACAAAATATCATTGGAAGCAAAAGTAACACAGAGCATGGACAAATAATTGGGTGTGGGTGTGATTAGGTACCAGAAAGTAGACGTAATGCCAGATGTTTAATGAAAACAGGCCGGCATAACGTCTGTGTTC